TGCGGCTGCCGTTATAAAATGGCTCCCCAAAGCGAGAGTCGGAGGAGGAAAGAGAAAAAGGGAAAAAGAGACGGTGCCAAAAATATCCGATGCGTAGTTCGCACGAACGAACGAACCGTCGTGCCGTTTCGATTCCTGCCGCTTGAGAAACGGGCGCGTTTCCCAGCTAGAAATAAAATCCTCCTGCCACTTAAAACGTTGGACGATCTGGAAAATCTGGAAACTTTTCTCTCTTAAAACAATTATCCTCTCCAATTATCATCACTTTCATCAACTTTCTTCGTTCGAGGAAAGAAAATTAACCAATTTGATCGATCCAACGAGAGCTAGAGTTACGTAGATCGTCCGATATTAATCCATAGGGAATCGATACGGTGTCTAACTACCTTCTAATTGACTCAAGTGTCGCCCCGAGCCCACCGAGAAACACCTAAGCTTACCTCGCTGTTTAACCTGACTCTGCATTGATCGATACTCGCGTGGACGCGTGCTGGACACGCACGGTTTAAAACGTGGCTTCGCAAGATCTCGCAATCGGCTCAGAAAATCTCCGCGAGACGGATCCCTGAGTCACAATACAAATACAGATTATATATATATATATATACATACACGCTTGCCACACAATCCATTTAATTAACTTTATGTGTAAAACGGTTACGAGGTGGTTGGAGAAACAGAAGCATGGAAAAGCAGTCGTTGCAACGTTTTAATTTCCGCTAACTCGTTCTATGACTCGATGTCACAATACGAAATTATTCGCGATGGAAAGATACTCGAGATGGGAGACAGGATCGAGATTAATCGCGAATATGGATGGAGATAATAAGGAGATAAAAGAGGAGGTTTTTTGTTTTCTTTTTTGATCGTTGGAGGAGATCACGTGGATCATGGTGTGAGAAGTGTCGCGCGCGCGCGCGTTGTCACCGCAACAGGAACGCGCGGTTGGACGCGCGAATCGATAAGAGGCGAGTAAAACGTGTGGTTTTGCACCGCGCGCGAGTGTTAAGCGTTGGGCCGCTTTTACTTTCACCTTTGTGGAAACGTGTGCCGCGCCCTGTCTTTACGGATCAATTATAATACGTCGATTAAACGTTTCGAAATTCCAAAGTCTGACTGTAATCCGTATTTACCCCGTGTCGAGAAGATTCTTAAATATATGTAATCTCTCTTCTTCTCGATCTCTCTCATTGTGCTCTTTTCGCATAGAAATAAAAGTTATTCGAAATTATCATTGATCAGCGAGAGATGAATGGTGGATTTGTTATCATCGAGCGATCAAGATCGATACAGATAAGTCAGTTGCGACTTCGTTTCGACGCACGAATGAAGGAGATATATATTTTCCATAAACAGAAAATGAAATTTATACGCGTTCTATTAACTGGATATATCCCGACAAACGGGATACAAATTTAGACGTCCGCTTACGCGTCGTCTGCGCACTCGTTAAGTCGCTCTCGCGACTTTTCTAATATTTATTTTCCACCCTCGTCGTCTGGTGGAAACGACGATGACAGTCAGGTGAGTCAGATGGATCGTAAAAGCCAATGAAACTTTGCAGGCTTTTTTCTTTTTTTTTTATCTTCGATTTAAACGCCGCGCGGGATCAGTGACGACCATCGTCATCGTCGCCGAGCGCTATTAGCTCGATGGGCTAAAATTCCTTACGAATTTTCTAACTTCCGGTCAGATAGGATTTAACGAATTTCAGGAATCTCATCGCTTATCGGAAGAACTTTGTAACATCCTGCGACGAGGCGACAACGGGAAAGTTTTCACGATAAGTAGAGAAAGACTGGCAGCTCTTCCTGCTAAATATATTTTTACTCCCGTTGACTCATCGTTGAATTGCAAAAGGTCTGGCTCGGAACAACCGATTCGGTGCTTTGCCTCTTCTCTTCATCAGATTATGAAAAAAAATTCTACAGACCTGGAATAATAAATTTCCCGTATTGTTCCGTCTCGAAGATCGTAATCGTGGGACGTAGCTGAACGTAGCGATTGCACGCTTGTTACTGCTGATGCTTTCACTAGCCACTCGTACATTAAATTCGTTATGGAGAATCCGTGATATTACGAAAAGAGCATCGGTATGCAGTTTAACGAACATTTACGTCTCATTATTCGTAATTCTATTCAATTTCCTTGATAGGCGGAGGATGAAATTACGGAAATTCAGCAGAATGAGACTACTATGCACCAATTCGCATCAAAATCTTTTCAGAAGTGAATAAAGAATTACGATATAATTCGATCTTTTGCTCTAGAAAATATTCGCAACGATATGCGCGCGTATCTAACGTTAATGCATAGAATATATTATATATTATGTATATATATATATAATATATATAATATATTCGGAGAAAATAACTCGTACGCTATCGCAAAGGCGGTAGTTGTCAAACGAAGTCACTGACACAAACTCAATAACGCCGATGAACTCTGACACAGGCGGTACGTGACTAACCGAAGAATTAATCAGCGAGAGTCACAAATCTTTATTTAACTTATGCGGAAAAGATTTAATGCACGCTCAAAGGTGTTGATGCAATTTCTCCTCGTCGTATGATGAACCCACGCATCTTTTCCCTCCTTTCCGCTCTTTCGACGCTTGTCTTCTCGCGAATAAATCGAGCCGCGACGACACTCGAAAACGGCTGGACGATGAATCATTGCGTTGACTAATTGAATTGTAATCAACGGAATGCACGAACGATGTGTTTTCGAGTTAAAAGTATTTTCGTATCGTTAATATTTATGCGAATTGACCTATTCATGTACGATATTTCAATCAGATTCATCGAATGTAAATATATAATCGATTTTTATATTTTTGAATTTTTTGAAGGTTTTATACATTTATGACAGACAATGGATTCTCGAAATAAACTTCGATTATCTATACCACTTTGCTATCATTTCCAACGTTACCGATTCAGGATGAAATAAAAGATTACTGCACTACGAATAAAAATGAGAATTTGGATTAACATTCTTTACCACGCGCAAAAGAACGATAAATTTTAATGAATTAATAAAAATAATGAATTATTTTTAAATTTAATAAATCGTGATGTTATAAATTATATTATATGACGTTAAGAAATTATAAAATTAATGAAATATAAGTAGAATATTAAAAATTATAATATTTAAATAATAATATATATTCTACAAGTAAATATTTTATTATTAATATATACATCACGGACACTCGTCTTTATCCGCTGAGCGCTTACCGAATGGGAAAAGGCATGAGTCAGTTTTATTTTGGCCGTTGTACTGTTTAGACGTATCGAGGTTATATGTGTTTGTTTTTGTGTATAATTTAAGGTTACGTACGAATTTCGTGTTCAAGATATTACGCATTTAATCGTGATTCTTAAAAATACATTTATTTGCCAGTGTTTGTAATATTTTCATTTATTTATGAGTGTTTTAAATACGTTCTTTTACAAGTGTAACATTGTGGCAACAGTTTCGCGCGGTTTTATTCGCAAGTGCCAGTATATTTCGCCATTATTATGGACGGATGAGAAACTGCTGATCATCACTATGCTATCTACGAACAGTAAGTTGCTTTTTGCCCAGATGATTATTTTACATTGTCATAAAATTATCATCTCTTTCTTCAATTTTTTCAATTTGTACTTCATAATTTTTAATTATGTTGTCCTACTTTTTGTTATAGATGTTTTATTACTTCTACATCTTACATGATGATGTGTACAATAAATTGTCTAGAATGGACTATAGCACCATCAATCGTAATATTCTTCGCATCGATGGTGAGTTGTATATATTTTTGTTCCTTTGGTCAATTATATCGATAAAAAGTTCGAATCGATATGGATGATTGATAATATATCTAGAATTTTGCAACGAGCATAGTGATTTATTTAATCCGTGAATAGTAATTTCGTTTTTGCGTTTTATTTATTATTTCTAGACTAGAGCTTCTTACACATCGTATTTCTAAATATTAATAATAAAAATCTTTCGTTTTTCGTCTTTTATTTATTTGAAATATAATGGTTTAGTTTTATTTTTCTGTTCAAAATATATTTTTTGTGCAAGAAGGCATTTCACGATCTACAGATTTTAGAATCAAACAAGTTTTAAATATTTTTATCAAAAATATGCTCTGATGAACAAATCGCTTAAAGTTATTTCTACTAACATTTAGATTATTTAAGTTTTTTTTTACTAGATATATTTTTTATTGATTGTTAACTTTTTAATCTTTTTTATATTTTAAATAAATAGAGTTTTTTTTAAATTTCGATTTAATTCTTTCTATATCTGTTATTAGGATTTTTATTTGATTAGAAAATCTTGAGGTTAGATTTAAGTTTTAGTGGACATGCATTTTGAAAAAGAAAATATATGTAAAAGAAGTCTAGCCTAGAAAAATTACCATAGAAAAAGTATTAATTACTTGTCTTTTTCTTAAAATTCTTAAGATAAGGATAGGAAATCATTTTTGTTACAATTTGACACTATTAAAAGACACTTTGTTTAATATCGTAATTAGTCGATACATTCCGATTCATCATCATTCGAAATGGATAAATTGCTATCTGAATCAAAATCACGAACATTGATTTCGGTTTAAATCATATGATAGCTAAATTTTTCTGTTTGCGATAAACAATTAATTACTTAGATTACTTCTTTCCATCTAGTATCATTTTCAGCATAGGAATATTTTTACTTTATCGACAGAGCATAAAGAAGATTTTACCGACTATGTGACTTCTGTTGCATATCTTCGAAGCCGACAAAAATACAAATGTAACGTTAGAACTCTTTTTTAAATTATTTAATCAAAACATTGCTTAATTTACAAGTCTTATTGTTTCACATATTTAAATAGTTTATTGTTACATTTCTTCTATCAATAATTATTCATCAAATGAAACAACAGAATGTAAATTACTTGTCAGAAAAATAATTCTTTCTACATACAATCATATTTATTTCTCGCAAAAACCCACGTTCGTATTTTAATTCGCATTGTAATTTCTTCCCTCGCGCGATCATCTAGACGTTTACAAATTACACACCGAGTTTCTAACAGGCATGGAATAAGATCCTTGTTGATTAATGCGAGCATTCCTACGAAATTCTCCCGTTGGCCTCCATCTAATTTCTGAATAGCTCCGCCCAGACATTGTTTCAACGGAAAGGAAATCGATGCTCGGGATTCAAGAAATCCTCGTTCATTTTGTTCGGGTAATTAAACGTGGAAATCGGCTGTCGCGCGTATAAAAATAGTACTCTACGCGCTTTTTTCCTCTGTTATCGCAAAAGATCAAAAGAAAAAAAGAAAAAAAAAATCAATTGACCAATTTCGTCTCGAGATTGAACGATCCCCACGAACGTAGGGACTCGAACGTCGAGACGAATATATTGGTCAAGGAAGCGAAGTCGTTCCCTGCCCTGCGTATAAAAT